CACAACCATTTTCAAACCACCACCAGAAACACCAACACCACCAGCTCCGATCACACTTCCGATCACGACCACACCCGCCGACTTCGCCTTAAAAGCCTTACACCTCACCAACCTCTCCACCTTAGGAAGCAAAACCTCCCCCAACCTCACCGGATCCGGATCCTCCGCCGCGTCGATCGCCGCCGCTAAACACAGCCCCGCTCCGATCTGCGCGTTCACCTCCGTCTCCGTGAAAAGCGCCTCCGACAACGGCTTCAAGAACGCTTCCGAGAACGGAGGCCTCGTCGTGCGCGACACGATCGCCGACACCGCCGCCACGCAGGCCGACCGCACGGAGGAGTCCCGATCGCGGAGGCGGCGGAGGACGCCGGTGAGGATCTTGGAGAGGAAAGGAGAGAGGGAATTTGGAGGGAGGGAGAGGGATAAGACGGCGAGGAGGTGGATGCAGTGTTTCCGAACGGCGGGTTTGTCGCCGGAGTCGGCGGAGAGGATGACGGAGATGAAGGAATGGAGGTTTCCGGTGGGATCGATGTTTCTAGCCATGGAGTCGAGCTCTCGTGATGCCATTGTGAAGGTGTCTCTGTCTCCAAGCTTTGTTAGTAACACCGACATGTTCTGCTTTGTGTTTTTTTGCGCCATTTTTTTTTTAAGTTTTAAGTTTTTTTTTTTTTTGCCGGTGGTTAGTGATGAGGCGGAGACGGTGGTGGATCTGGGGGGATGAGAGGTGGCAGTGGCATTTAGTGTGAAATTTAAGATTTATAGTTTTAATGAGATGAGAATGTGTTCGGTCGGTGGTGGAAGGTTTGACTATGTGAGTAGTTGTGTGTGTGTTTACCGTTTTGTCTGCGTGTCTCTCTGTCTTTATACCGTTTATTGGGAAGTGGTGGTATAGAGGTGATGATGATGACGATGACACGAAACGATGTCGTTTCTGCAGTTGTCTAAATATGATTATTACCTTTGCGGTACTTAACCTTAATTTTCTTTTACGAAATTGTATAATTATCTATATCATTAAAACTGAAATATCTTTAAGTATTGTTTAGAACATAAATATCAATATAAGTAAGAATTATTTAGAAACAAACATAGCAATATTACATTAGTTATATTTTTATATTTTATTCAGTTTAGTACAAATGCATATTAGACACACTCCTAGAGACAGATCTGATTATATTACAACACATCTAAAATATAACGTTAACTATACAAAAATTAATATATAAAAGCAAGAACCAAAATTTATGTGGGTTATGTATTAATATTATAGATCAATAAAATTTTCGATAAATGCAGATAACATAGAACATATGGACTTGTAGCTTTCAAACATGGATATGTGCAAATGAAGCAAAATGTAACTTTGATGGGATTCATTGTTATACGTACCCTTATCAAGGTGGTTCAACTAAACATTCTTAACGTTTTTAAATACATTTTGGTGAACCAGTGTTATCAATGAAAGCTCTTACTACTTGTTTGTACTAGTCCAGTTGTTAGCGTAATTTGCGTGATTTGTGAAGAACGTGTGGCGGATATGTTGTTGTTGAGTCATATAGATAACAAGTCGATAGATATAATTAAGGGTGGTAATCATTATCTCGATTTCGGTTTGAGATCCGGTCTACTCTGAGATGGACTGGGGAGACTTCTTTTTGAACTGAGCTTAGAATAAAGCCCAAAATATAGTTTAGCTGCACCGAACCGGAAAAAAAAAAAACACAGAAAAGCCTGTATTTTGTTTCACTCGATAACATCTTTTTCTTTCTGTCTACTTTATTAGATGCCTTGAGCAACATTATTAGGAGACTGTAAAAATAAAGAGAGAATGTGTAAGAAAGTTGAAAAAAAAAGATACAAAGACAAACCTCACGAGCTTGTCCCTGCAGCCTTAGCTTCTTTATTCATCTCAGCTTTTAACAAAGGTTCCATAGCATTAGCAACATCTTAAAAAACAAAATAAGAATTAAAGTTCGCGTCTAGAGACTTGTTCCATGTAACTTTCATATCGATCTAACTTTCTTTTCATAGTAACCGAGGAAACATTTCAGACAATAAAGTGACATTTCAAGAAACATCTTCTTACAGAGTTCTCAATGATGTAATAATCTAAGTGAACTCAGTAAACCTCTTACGCAGATTTCTCTTGAGCCATCATACCACATTTATTATCCAAAAATCAATAGTTTAACTTATGTAGTTGCACATAACCTGTCAAACCAAAAAAAAAAAAAAAACAATCCAAGTAAACAACAAACCATTCCAAAACTGGAATCTGTATCTCTACTTCTTGCAATACATGAATAATTCCGACAAAATATTACACACAAAGACCCTGTTTTCAAGCCATCAAACAAAAAAAAAATGAAGCTTTCCTAACATATTCACATCTTCAACACAAAGATGGAAAGAGCAAACCAGGCAGAAAGAAAACACTTAGGAACGCCTCTAGACGATTCACACAGTATGTATATACACACGAATCTGTCCAGGGCGAGTCGTTTCCTTTTTCCTTTGTAACTAACTCACACTCACTTCAGATTTTTCCTAACTGTAACATTCTTGAACACAGAGAGCCACTTTGATACACTGAAAAGCTTTGTCCACCTTCTGCTATGTGCCTTACCAACCACAACATTCTTCTCTGACATGATGAACCCATCAAGCGCACACTGCAAATCAGACCGAGTTTCTTCTAAGCCAAGAATCTGAGAGCAGTTCCATAGATTGAAGTCGTCGTATAAACCTTGTGGAGTAACTTCCATGTCAACATCATCACTGTACTGTCCACCACCACTACCTTCTGCTGCGTTGTGAAGGTTTGACACATAAACATAACCACCCTCCAAGCTGGTCAAACTCAAACCGGAGTAATCAATCCCAACACTGCTCTGTGAAGCATTGTGAAAGTTCCTCATCATTGAAGACTCATCATCATAAGAGACGACTTCATTTAAGTGACTCAATGCAGCAATTACCATCTCCTCAGCTTGAGCCTAAATCAGTAAAAAAAAAATCAAGTCAAATCTGTAGAGAGAGAGAGACAGAGAGAGGGAAGCAAAACCTTTTCAGTATCAGATAACTTCTCAGCAGGAATATACTGAAAATTCACAAGCAGTCCAAGCACTTGAGCTACTACATTGAATACCACAGCTGTTTCCTTCTGAAACCCATGAGGTTGGTACACGTGGACACTATTATCAAGAACACAGGAGCGAGCATGGTCCAAAGTGATTTCCCACATTTTTGAAGACATACCAGTACCAAGAATCTATAACAAACATTAATCATCATCATTAGGTATATTGCCTAGTTTAGAGGAAGGAAGACAAATCTTACTTGCCGGAGTTTTGGAGAGTTTAGATGAAAATGTGTAAGAAAATCCTTGACAGTGTTTATATGTGAATGGTTTAATCTTTTGTGAAATGCTCCATCTTTCCCTATCTTCTCCAATCTCCACACTTCATCGAAAAGTGAAGGAGGATGATGCTTTCTGTACACTACAAGAAAGAGTAAAAGAAGTTCATGAGATTAGGAGTTCTTGCGAGTAACTAGGCCTGGGCATTTCGGATAGTTCGGGTAGGGGCTTAGAGAATCCATTTACTACTTGGCCTATTTCCAGTTCAGGTAGTTTCAGTTCAGTTAATAAAACTAGGAACCGGAAAAAAAAAACGGTTATTTCAGATATAGAATTACAGGAACCATTCAGATATCTGAGGATTTCAGTCTAATTCCAGTTTCGGGTATTTCGGTTTGGTTCCTATTCTTTTTTCCAGGCCTAAGAGTAACAATCTTTGAGAGAGCATATACTTACATTCTCCTCGGTGATCTCTTACAACAAAGGACTCAGTGATTGCCTCTCTAACCTTAACAAACTCAAACTGATCCACCATCCGTACACCTAGTCTGAACTTCCTGCTCCTAGTCCAGCTAGAGTTATCAGTAAATGAAATCTCATCCATAACACCAATGCCATCATTAAGAACTGTAAATACATTTCCACTGAGGAGAGGTTTCTTTCCTTCTCTCTCTTTTACAATGTTGTTTCTGAAATCCTCATGACTTTCAAAATCACCCTCAACAACAAACACTTCGAGCTTTGCAGATGATGCAGGACCTGAAGAGACAATTTGGCCAGTTGAAGAATCTATTAGTCCAATTCTGATAGCTTGACCTTCATCTCCTTCTATCCGAGCTGAAGTGAAGACAGGAAGTGATAGATTGTTCAAGAACTTTAACTGTAGGTTCTTTGATTCCAAAGGATGAATCTCCTTCTCACAAATCCTGAACAAAGATGACATAACAGTCAGAGAAAGAATCTAATGTTTAATTTGAAAAGTAGGTTTACCATTTGATGCCAGTTAGATGCTTTGCAAGAGCCAATTCAACTTCTTCTTTTACCTGTTCCAATGGATATTTTAATATAATATAAGCTAAAACAATTACTTGTTAGATTACTGAATTCATTTAACATGATACCTACCACTTTACGGATTAAGGGCTCAAGAACAGGTTCGAGAAAATGTTTGACAGTTTGCAATCTCATTACCTCCTGAACCACACTACAGTTTTGGATTCAAAAACATATGTGAGAATCCATAACAGCTGGGTGACACTAAAGAATCTAAGCTTTTATAAACACTAATGCTTTGTCCACAGCAAGCTACTGGGAAAAAAAAAACAAAGCTTCTCAATCATGGTCACAGAAGTAACAAAAACCAAACCTAACTATAATTTCCGTTCCACGAAGACAAAGATCAACTAGTAGTCTTCTCCAATGTTCTAAAAATTGGTCTAGGCGGCACCTTCCTAGTCGCAAATCGGGTATAAACGAAACCATTTTTTATCGATTTAGGTGTTCAAAACAATAATACTCTATAAGGTGCCTAACCACTGTAGAATTGATGAGGTACAAGATTGGGAAATGATATATTGACTCTCATCAACTCTACATGGTATCAGAATTCTCGATCCACGAATTCCAACTATTGATGTGGAACACTTTGTGTCTAATACGCCCCCTGGAGATGATGGCTCTGATACCATATTAAGTTAGATGGTTTTAGGTTGGAAGTCCATCTATCCTAATAACCACCGCCTAGCGATTTTTAGTCTCCTCCATAATCATTCACAGAGAAACCGAACTAAAGAATCCACCATATTATCATCATATTGTTTTAAACTAAATATGTTCTTGTTCATAGACATGAGATATAAAAGATCACAATTTTCAGACTCTAATTAATACATATCTCATAAGCTTATACTTCTATCATCCATATCAAAATAAATTGAATCAAAAACAAATAGGGTTTTACCTTTTGAACCTTCTACGCTTATCCTCAGGCGTTGATCCACCATCCACGCGAGCTTTCCCTGCTTCAAACTCCCTCTTGTGAGACATACCAAAGAATTCAACAAGAGCCGTCGAAATTCACAGAGAGTTTCAACCATTTAACAAAAACCTCTTTGGGGGAGATAGATAATCAGAATCTTATATTTCCGGAAATAAATAGATGTGTATTTATTTATATTTTCCCAAAGTGTAACGGAAGTTTCCTAAATCTGATTATCTTTAGAAACAAGTGAGACCAGTATCTTGGAACTATCTTATCTTCCCCCACCACACCACCACCAGCTCTCTTTCAGACAAAAACTTAAAAAGGAAGACAAAAGAGAGAGACTATGCAAAATGTTTTGGTGGTAAGCAGATAGAGACAGAGTTGGAGAAAGTATTTGGTGTTGTGAAGTTTTCTCAGTGTTGTGGTTGTGTTGCGTGTGTAGGGTCTACCGAAACCGCGTTACTGACGAGGTGATTTTTCCTTTTTTTTAAAAAAAATTAGAAAAGTTTTGACCTTTATATCTGCTCACACGTTTGAACCTTTTCTTTTATTTTTTGTGACGTCACGTTTTAAAAGTTTTTTTTTTTAGCAAAAAGTTTATAACCCCAAAAGGAGTTTAATTTTTTAAATTAATTGGGGTTTTCGATTTTTAATTAATGAAAATATTTTTCTCTTCTTCTTGGACCTAAAAGACAAATCATTAAGAGCATCCGCATTGAAGGTTCGTGGGGGAGTTCACACGCGGATCAAGAAAAAAATAAAATAAAATATGCTGATTTTGGTGAATCCGAGTCTTGGAGGTTCGTCAGAATGAACCCGGTTCACACGAAGTTCGCCATGTGGCGTTCCGCGATTGGTCCGTTATTATTATTATTATTTTTTTAAGAAAAAGCAAACTAAAAAAAAAATTAATTTTTTTATATGAACCCCCATCCATTAGGTGTGAGATGGGGATGCTCTAAGCATGCGGAGAATCTGCAATCAATCGATTTAAAATCTTAATATTCAAATTTCTCCCATAATTCCATCCTTTGTTGTTATTGTCACATGGTATGTGAATCAGTTAGATATAGAGGTTAGAAAAGGAGCATATGGATAACATTAAGTTATGCCCCAGCCATAAGGTCTTGTCTTATGATTGTGTCTTTCCAAGTAGAAACAAACAAACTACATATGTTGAACTCTGATCTGAATATCTGATACTATTCTTTGCCAACTTGCAGATGTGAAATGTCTTTTTTCAATTTTTAATCATATTAAGCGGGGAGCAACTTAGTTATTAAGTTAGTTACAAAAAAAAAAAACTTAGAGAATGATTGTTTGTAGTTTTTGGTTTGGTTTTTGGTTTTGTTTTTCCAAAAACCATTTTTCACCCAATCAAGATTTTCATAAAATGGATTCCCTAAAATACAGGGAAACTAGTTTTTACAAATAACTGTTTTTTGAACACAAAAGCCAAAAACCAAGTTTTTATAGTTTTTATAACATACGATGGGTTTTTCAAAAAAAAAATTCAAAAACATTATTTTTTACAATATTTAGGCATTAATATAAGATAATAAGAAAAAGGATAATAGCTGTATACTAGTAAGAAGCATTTGCTTACACAATATTAAAATAATTGATATTAATACCATTCTTTAAATTTGTCAATAAAATTAAATTAATTATTTAAAATGTTATTTTCTAAAAATTGTACTAAAAACTAAATTTGTCAAAGCTTTATTGTACTAAAAACTGTTATAATATTTAAATGTTATTTTCTCTAATAATAAAATGATGTAAACTAAAAACGCATATAAAAATTTTAAATTTATCAATAAATTTTAAATTCTGAAGTTAGTCATTACAAAAAGATATATATATGATAAATTTGTGGTATTATATGAAAGGCATTCAAAATAAAATTTCTATATCTATGAGATTCTCATTAGTTTTATTTAAAAATATTTTATTAAATAATTTACGTGTCCTTTTGATGATAGTACTTTATTTATTTTTTTATTCAAAAACAGTATTAATATTTTCTTTATTTGATTATTTTTAAAAGTAAAAACCAAAAACCAAAAACTAAAATCTAAAACAACCATTCATGTTTTTTGAAAAACTAAAATCTACTACAAAATCAAAAACCAAAAACTAAAAACCAAAATCTAAAAACCAAAAACTAAAACTAAAAACCAAAAACCAAAATCTAAAAACTAACAAAACAATCATCACCTTAGTTTATTAAGTTCATCTATTCATAAATAGTGCCAAAAAGCAGGTTTTACGAAGTTGATATGATTTGTTACTTCTCCACGATGAGTCAATATAGTGTATGTAGCTACTTCTTTTGTAGACACACAAACATCATTAATGAGCAAACAGAGACGTCGACGTACCCATTCTCAGAACATAAACGCGTGATTTTAAAGAACGAAAAAGCAAAAACGAAAATGAGTTTGTCCAAGTTGTATTTTGTATGTTGTTTAATATTGTAAGCACACTATGTGTAGGGACAAGTACGAACCTCTCTACTAAACATATTTAAGATTTTATTGATTAATCTTAATCACATTATTCAAATACAACTAGAATCATAGTCGCTGTACCAGTAAGATAGTGTGCACTAGGTCGTTGATGATCTGCAAACAATGTTTAAATTATTTATAACCAGAAACCGTTTAAGCACTAATTAATCGAACACCGCAAGTACACACCACTACTCCTATATTATTATTGTCAACATTACAATTTACAAGTAATGAAGAGAAGCAAGCAAAGTAGAATGTAGGGGTGGGCGTTCGGGTACCCGTTCGGATTCGGGTCGGGTATTTCGGGTTTTCGGGTATTTCGGTATTGGGGTATAGAACCCGTTCGGGTATTTTTACATATCGGGTCGGGTTCGGATATTTTTAGTTCGGGTTCGGTTATTTCGGGTCGGGTTCGGATATTTAGATTTTGAAAGAAAATTTCAAATTCTTTATTACTTAAGTTTCATGTATTTAAAATTTAACTATTAACTTAACTGTTTTTAAAATGTTTAATAAGTTAAACGATTAATAATTTTGAAAATAAATTATTGAAAATAAAATTCATTATTTTGATTGTTATTTTTGAATTTTGGATGCAAATTTTGTTTATAAATAAGAAATAAGAAGCTTAATATGCATTTTAAATGAGTAACAAATTATTATTTTTTTTACAATTATATGTATATTATCTGATCTTAAATTATATATAACATTAATATAAATATTTTTAATAAAAGGAGATAAATAAACTAGGAATAAATAGGTATATATACATATGTTCGGTTATCTTCGGATACCCGTTCGGGTTCGGATAATACTCGTTCGGGTTCGGATATCTAAACTCTCCTAACTCAATACCCGTTCGGGTATTTTACTACTTCGGTTCAGATTTCGGTTCGGATATTTCGGGTCGGGTTCGGGTATCGGATAAAGTGCCCACCCCTAGTAGAATGTGTATGCATTCAACAATTGAAGAGATAGTCTTTACACGTGACGTCATGATGATGATAAAAAATTCATGATCATAATGTTTAAGACGTCTTCTCTCACTCTCAGTAGTTTGCTCTTCCGTTCTCATAAAGAATCACACCAATGACTCTTTCGAGCGATTCGCACAAGAAACTGTTCATGTTCCGTTCCTCAATGGTAAGAATGATGAATGTTTTAACACAACTGGATCGAGCCCAAGCCCAACACTGAGAAACATTAATGGGTCTGCACATTCTAAAAAAAGGCCCATTAATCTCAACCTTTAAAACAAACGGTTTATCATTCAGCGGCGCGTTATTTGAATTCGAATTTTGGAAGAATAACTTACACAGAGACCCCACACACAACGGGAGCGTCTGGGAAATGGTAGGCCCTCAGATTCCAAATATTCCGAATCTAACGGTTCGTATTGACTCTACTCCAGAAACTTAAAAGAGTCTTCAACAAAGTTCCCGCTCTCAAGGCAAAACTGCCAACAAAAATTTAGGTTACGCGTGTCTTCTGTAAACTATTCAAAATTAGATCCCTCTTATTCATATATCTTCTTATTAAACCCCAAAACTATTGATTTGAACCAAATTCCCATTTTTAAATCACGATTACATAACTCCTCAAAATCATTTTTCAAGACTAAAAAAACGTTGATTATCTGAACTTAGATATATAAGCTGTAAATTTTTTTTATTCATTATGGGTCCAATTGGTGTTTTAGTTTTAGTGGCTGTTGAAACTTTAGTTTAAATCTAAAATCTTAAAAGTCAAATTATTACTAATCGAACTTTAAAATTTCTAAAATTATTAATTTTTTTTATAAAATTAAAATAACTATAGTTGCTTTCCTTTTTCCAGTAAAAGCCACAATTATGAATTTTAATTTTTTAAAAATCATATTTAATTATAACGGTAAAAGTCTTAATCATCAAATTTAAATCCAAAGTTTTCAAATATTTTGCTGTCAAAGCTTTTGTTTCAAAGTTTTCAAATTTTTTTTTTGAAAAAAAAACAGTTTTCAAAATTTTAAACAATGGGAGCCTATAGCTACAGTGATCAAAGTGGACAAAATTAGACTAAACTAAAACAATGGGGTCATAATAAAAACAATAATATAATACAGGGATCAAAAACGAGTCTATTATTTTCAAAAACTGCTTTGTCTATTATAATAAGTAAGCTTTCTCCGCTCTCACATAATTTCAAAATTGAAAATCTTCAGTTTCTTCTTCCCACTCCAAAAAAAAAAAAAAAAAAAATTCAAAAGCGATCGCATCCATGGAGAAATCGACGGAGAAGAGCGTAAGCTCCGTTGCTTCTGGTAATCTTATAACACTCCTTCCCTCTCTTATCAGATCGTTCGACTCCTCGTTTCAGAAATCATAACCTCTCTCTCTATTTTTCTGAATCGTAAATAGGAAACTCAATCAACTCGAAGCTGAGGTATCCTCTCAGATCTGCTCTCAAACCTCCCGTTCCTGATTTCTCAGGCGGCGCCTCTTCAGCTCCCAGAAGGTAGTAGTAGTACTGTTCATCACTGTAATCACCTTTTCAGAATTTTCTAGATCTGGAATAAGATGAGACGTTATTGATTAGGTTTTAAGATTGTATGTGTTGATGGATTTGATTATTAGGAAACTACGATGATAACTTCTTAAATATGTTTAAAAGTTTGTGGTTAGTGGTCGGGTGGTAGCATGGCGTTTCAGCATCGCTGACGTGTGGCTACTGGTGATTTAACATTCCCGGGGAGGTTTTTTTTTTTTAATTTGTATTTCTGTTGTGGTGTTTTTCTATAACTTTTTAAATGTGTTAAAAAATTTTATGAATTATTTTTTTTTGGTAAAATATTCCCGGGGAGGTTTACTTTTTTTTTTTAATTTGTATTTGTGTGGTGTATTTTTTATAACTTTTTAAATGTGTTAAAAATTTGTTATGAATTATTATTTTTTTTGGTAAAATTTTGAATTTGTAAAATTTTGTTATGAAATTGTATTTGTGTTGTGTGTTTTTTTTGGAATCTTAGGGGAAGAGTAGCGTCTGTTGTTAGTCAAAGTACTACGGTTCTTGATTTGTCTGCTAAGAAGAGTGTTGAACGCGCCAAGTTGCCGCCGAGGAGAATGTCGATTCCTAACAAGGCCTCAAGCAACTCTTCTGTTAGTAGGTCTGTGAGTAGCAGCGTTACTTCTTTGTCTGAGAGCAAGGGGAAGAGACCTGGAGGGAATGTGAGAAGGAGCTTGAAGGAAGAAATGCCTGTGTCTAGTGTGATGAGATCAGGGGCGAGAAGAAAAGTTGTTGAGGATTTGACTTCCTGTAGTTATTGGATGGCTCATATCAAGCTTGCTGAATCAGTGGGGAAACATTCGATCTCTCTTGGTTTTTTTAAACTTGCTCTTCATGCAGGGTGTGAGGTAAGAAGTTTGTTTGTTTTTTTTCATGAAAGTTTGGTTGTTTTTTGTTTTGATTAACTTAACTGGCTTGTGTGTGTGTGTGTGTGTGGAATGTAGCCACTTGAGAAGATGAGAGAGGAGTTGAAATCGTATGTTGCTCGGAACAACATGGATGGGCTTGCTGATGCTGTGAAGGAACTATCTGAACTGTACTGTATCGTAGAAGAAGCCAAGCAGACAGAGAAGATCTCAGATACCACTTCTGTAGCGGCTGAAGAAGCAACTGATGATAATGTTCAGAGTTCACTCTACACTCTTTTAGATTCGAAGATGACATCAGAGATCATGAAAGAGGATGTTGTTTCGCAAGACTCAGCTGTCATAGAAGAAGCCAAGGAGGAGGAGGTTTCAGAAAGCATCCCGCAAGAAAGAACTAGAAAGTCTTTGGATGTAATCAATGTGAACCAAGCGGATGTTCCAGAGGCTGTTCAAGGATCAGAAGATGGAGTTCCAGTGGTGACTGTTGCTCAGCCTTCAGAGAAGAAACGTGCAAATAAGAAGGAGAGTGTTTCTAAGAACACCCTTCCCGTGAAGACAAAGAAAGCAGTAGCGACCAACTCTGTCAATCCAAAAGCAGTTCCAGAAAACAAGGACAATAAGCCTCAGAAGAAAGTTCAGGAAAGGATCACTAAGCCAAGGACTAAGAAAGTTCAAGAAGAGACAAAAAAGTCCACCAAGAAACCTGCTGCTAAAGAAGGTAAATAATACATTGTCTGTGCAAAAGCTTGTGTGGTCTCATTTAACTGATGATGCTAAATGTTATTTCGTATAGGTGAAGTTAAATCTCTGAAGCAAATGGAGAACAAAGAAAACTCTGTGAGTAAAATCTTCTTCTTTAGTTCAGAGAATCAAATCTCTTCTGTATCTAAAAGAGACTAACACACGATCTTGCTGCACACTGCAGGTTGTTGTTGGTGCAGGAGAAGAAGTCCAGGTTTGAGTGAAGAACAGAGAAGCGTTTCTTCACATCTCAATCAACTCTTTTTTATATTGGTTTGAATGCTTGTTCAAGGTACATAGTTGAAACGCTTATGCAAGTTCTGTTTGAAAAAAACAACAAATATTTTATTTGCTTGGTTTTGTAATTGTGTTATGTTTTTTTCTTCTCCCCTTCTCTTCATTTGAGATGTCCCTGTTTTAAGTTTGTCTATTTATTAGTTATCAAATATATTTCTCATTTTGAAACTTATAAATCCCATTTAGTTCAATCACTCAGCAGTCAAACATTGAATCATATCATTATTATACGTTGCTCTGCTTCACGGTCTCCATTACTTTCCTGTTATATTCTTGCTTGTTATTACTGAACAGCCTTGCAGCTTCTGTGTTTGCTGGCGAGCTAGGGTTTGGATCACAAAGCAGAGACTGCAGAAGAAGAAAAAAAAAAACTTGGTTAGCTTTATGCATAAACCCCACAATGCAGAAGACGCAATGAGTAAGTTATAAACCTGGATTGATGTGAGTATTGCAGAAACATCGTATATTGGACTCCATTGGTTTTGTAATATATCCAAGCAAATGCTTCCATCATCATAAACTGCACATAACTCCACAAATAAACAAAAGTTTAAATGTGGAACATGAACTTATCTTTTGGGTTGTTTTAAGTGAGTGATTGAGCTTACTGTTTGGATGAAACATCCGTGAAACAAACCGAACTACTGGTGGTTTGTTTGGGTAGTCCTCTGTGAACTGAAGAGTCAACTTGAAGGTACCTAACAGAGTATTTATATAAAATTTGGGTTAGTTTAGCTAATAGTTATAACTCATGAAACATGTTTTTTTTTTTTTTTTTTGAGTTGGCTTGAAGTAATAAGACAGACTTTACCTCCTTCCCATGGACTGTCACTAGGTCTGCAGAGACAATGAAGAATGAAATTCTTTTATTGTTTGAAGCATATTGTTGAGAAATAAAACACGTAGATAATGGTTAAAGATTTGTACCCAAAGATGAGAGCGTTCCAGAGCATGATATCGTTATCTTTAGGAGCACCACTTAACCCCACGGGAGGATCTTTCTGCAGTCTCTTGAAATCCCACATGAGTCTCTTTCTAGAAGGAGTCGACATAATAGCTGCATAGAAATTCAAGATATACCAAGTGAACGCTCATGATTCTCACTTGTGATAACATTTAACCACAAACACATATTGGTACCGTGATTCTCTAAGAGCCTACAAGCAGAGGGAGAAAGAGAGTCCAAAATCTACATTTATCTATCATCTACCTGAGGAAGCTCCAATATGCAATACCACTAAATGCCAAAACGTAAAATGCAAATCAGAATAACGAAACACCAAACTTCTAAAGTGATCAAATCTTCTAGACAAAGAAAGAATGAGTTTTGGTGATTCACATGCATAGGTGAAATTCAAAGCTTAACGAAAAACAATGGAGCAAAAGCTAGGATGCACTTTCTCAAAAAAAAAAAGCTAGGATGTTTCAATATTTTAACCTTCGATGGATGAAAGAGAGGATAACAAAAGTGAATAGAGAGAATCAAAGAAGATATATATATATATATATATATATATATTATTCTCTCTATTTTACTTTTGATATCCTCTAAAATTTTAAATTTTAGAGGATATATATCGATATATATAAATTTTAGAGGATATATATTTTCATTACATTAATTTTAGAGGATATATATATATATCTTTATCATCTACAGAAGGAGGGGAAAATGAGCTAAGATAAGAATAATATCTAAAACAATTTTCTTCCAAATCAATTTTTTTAATTAAACTTATCTTCAAGGAATTTTATTCAATTTATTAATTAATGGTTTAGCATAAAGACAAAACAAATATGTCAACACCCAAGCGGATGTGACTCAGCAAAGCTATCCCCATTTTGATACTATTAATTTAATAATAAAGATTTATGGATTACTCACTATCTTTATTTACATTTATTTAAACCTAAATCTGAACGTAGTTTGAAAAACCTTTAATATAGTTGTTTAACCCATAATTCATTAATATCGTCATGGAATGATTTTTTTTTAACAACATAATAGACTTATGAAGATTCTGTAAACCAATTTAATAACTATGAATTCATATGGACAACAAAGAATGACTGCTTGTTTATATTGCGTGTTAGTCTGTCTGTCTTTAAATTTTGTGTCCGTAGAAAAATGAATATTTTCCAAATAATTCGCAAATGCTAACCATTCTTCCGATTCCGACACCATCTTCACTAACTGTGAATAATCTATTGTAAAAATGATTGTGTATTATCATAAATTCTTCATAAATTCCATAGCCCATATTAAAATTTTTATTTGTGAGTGTAGGAGCGATTGACTCGCTCATGTATTCCATAAGACTATCAAAACCTTTCAGAGTGCTAAAACCATCTTTGTTTCAAGAAGGTTTCTTGTAACTTCCAAAATCCATTTGTAAAACACAATTTCCCTGGTATAACCGATAATGAGGTTTGATCCTAATCTGGTTGCTGCTCGAGTGAGGCATGTGCATCAGCTCACAATGCGACCTCTATTTCAGCTAATTTAAGTGTGTCCCTCAGATCAATCTCCAAATTATTAAATACTTTATTGTTTCTACTTTCCAAGATATATCATAGTATTCAAGCAAATTGATGATCTTTCATTTTTCAATCTATCCTACAGAATAAATGATCAAAATTAGCAAACATAAAAGGATCTCGTAGGTATTTAATGTTTTCATAATTTTGAATATTATAAATTAGTATTAAAAATTTATTTAAATATTTCCTTTTTAATAAATAATATTAATTCTATTTGATTTTTGTTCTTTAACATTGGTTAATTATGCATTATAAACTATGAGAAGTATTACATAGACGGTATTGTAGTCGACAATATTATCTGTTGTATGTGGGTTTACGTTTAACTACATCTTCTTAAACTATTATATGATATCTATTTCTGATGGTATTCCTTACGCATGTTGAAATTTTTTTGTAAACTTTTCTCCAATAATATGTATAATTCACTCTTCACTTTCTTTAAAATTTAAACTCACTTGTAAAAACTGCTTCGTCTGAAATTTGAACCTTAAATTTACTGTAAAAATCTTTAAATCTTAACTACTAGACTATGGTTTTTTCCACAACTCCATTTAATCAGAAGAGGTTTTAAATAAGAGAAAGAGAATATGCTTCTTCCTCAATGGTGATGAGTCATCGTTGGGGTTATATAACAAGCAATTAAAAAATATCGCCTTGTACGGTAAACAATATTAAAATAACTGCTTATTTCTCTAAATATCTAAAAATCATTTACGTAATTAATTTTTTTCAACCAAAATCAATTACTCTTCCTTTTTATAAGCCAATCACTCAGTTACACACACCAATCTCGTATCCTCAAAAAAGAAACGTCTCGAGTACAGTTTCATTCATCTTTCTCTCCGTCACTTTAGGATCTTAAAGCAATGTACAGAGCTTTGGCGAGCAGAGCACTGAGAGCTAAGTCTCTCTGTGACACCAAATCCTCGACCGTCCTTGCTTCTTTCACCTCTTCCAGGTTTGATCTATCGCAGTTTTGTTTCTCTTACTGTTCTTCGCGGTTTTAGTTTTGCATGTTTTTTTTGCCCTGACAGTCTCAGTAAAGATTTAATTAAAATTATATCAAAAAGACAAAAGCTTTTAGCAAGTTGGTGTTTTTAAAAAGAAATCTGAGATTTGGATTTGGTCTCATCACATCATCGAGTTTCCGCATCTGACAAGTCTTGTCTGAATAGAGAGAGATCCAATGTAATGATGTATGTGTGTTTTAACCGTTTTGCAGGTTGAATCATTCTATACCGTTTGCTACCGTAGATGCCGAGGAGATATCTGGTGCTCACCCTGCTGAAGTACAGAGCTTTGGTACGTGTTCACTTCTCATTGGTTGATTTTTTGATTGCTCATTGCAGTCATGTGGAATCTCTGAGATGTACTTTCCTTTGTATCTATAGTTCAGGGAAAGTGGATAGGGTCTTCGAACTATAACACGCTTCTGGATCCTCTCAATGGAGAACCATTCATTAAAGTTGCTGAAGTGGATGAATCAGGAGTTCAGGTTTGAAGAAGATCCATAAAAAAAAAACATTAATAGTACAGCCGTATAAGTCACATTTCTAACTTTGTCTATCCTCTGTTCTATGTCATAGCCGTTTATTGAGAGCTTAGCTCAGTGTCCAAAACATGGTCTGCATAACCCTTTCAAGTCTCCAGAGAGGTAAGATTTTCTTTGTAAATTAAGAATCTTTATCTATGTTTCATTCAATATACTAAAACCTATGGTCATGCTTTCTGCAGATACCTTTTATATGGAGATATCTCCACAAAGGCAGCTCATATGCTCGCTTTACCTAATGTAAACTATGTTTCAATTTTTTTTTTGACTCTTGATTTCAAAATTCAGATATCCTGAATGATATGTGTACTGAGCTACTGTTTTTTTTGTTAATGTGTGTGTTATATACATTATCAGGTATCTGATTTCTTCACGAGGTTGATTCAAAGGGTTGCTCCAAAGAGTTACCAGCAAGCTGCTGGAGAAGTCTTTGTCACAAGAAAGTTCTTAGAGAACTTCTGCGGTGATCAGGTATGTGAAAACCTCCACACTGTATTATATTGGTTCCTAGTTGTCACTTTTGAATGTTTGTTTAATGGATTCTGCTTCTCTATCTTTTTTTTATCAGGTGCGTTTCCTGGCACGGTCTTTTGCAGTACCTGGGAATCACCTTGGGCAGCAAAGTCATGGCTACCGCTGGCCTTATGGTCCTGTAAGTCATTCTCACTAGATGCGTTTAACTTGTGACTATTCTTGTTTTCTACTTTTGTTTTTGAACTTAAAAATTTATTTATGATGCAGGTAACGATTGTTACACCATTCAATTTTCCACTTGAGATTCCACTACTTCAGCTGATGGGGGCTTTATACATGGGTAACAAACCTCTTCTTAAAGTGGACAGCAAGGTATAAACTCATATCTGTACACACATATATAGCTATTCATATTCTTCTTTTTATGATTGTTTTCAAATGTTAATTTGGATAGGTGAGCATTGTAATGGAGCAAATGATGAGATTGCTGCACTATTGTGGTTTGCCCGTTGAAGATGTTGACTTTATTAATTCCGATGGGAAGACTATGAACAAGATATTGCTAGAGGTTTGTGTTCTGGCATTCAAAAGTCTATCATCTCCACATGGTTTTCTTAAATTGAGCTGGTCTCATGTTATCCCTGTTTTTTTAATTCTTATGCAGGCGGATCCAAGGATGACTCTCTTCACAGGTAGCTCTAGAGTAGCTGAAAAGTTGGCACTTGACCTCAAGGGTCGGATTAGACTGGAAGATGCTGGTTTTGATTGGAAAGTCTTGGGACCAGATGTTCAGGAGGTTCCTTATTCTAATATAATACTTCATATTTTTATTTCCATAAGTCTCTTTAGATGTGAGTGTAATCTTTAACCCGATGTTATATTGTCAGGTTGATTATGTTGCATGGGTATGTGATCAAGATGCATACGCGTGCAGTGGACAGAAGTGTTCTGCACAGTCTATGCTTTTTGTGCACGAGGTTGGTTTGATCCTAATTGCTAACAGTGAAACTGCCTTTGAATCTTTTTGGCTACTTCCAGTATCTAACTTGACTTTCTTCCAGAACTGGGCAAAAACTCCTCTTCTTTCCAAGTTAAAAGAACTTGCCGGAAGACGCAAGCTGGAAGACTTGACCATTGGTCCTGTCCTAACAGTAAGTTTGATTTGTTTATAATTATCCAATGAGATTGTATCATTTGTCCTTAATATTATTTGTTTACAGTTCACAACTGAGGCAATGTTGGAGCACATGGAGAATCTGCTTAAGATTCAAGGCTCAAAGCTACTCTTTGGTGGGAAACCATTGAAGAACCACTCAATTCCTTCTATCTACGGAGCATTGGAGCCCACTGCAGTTTATGTTCCCATTGAAGAAATCTTGAAGGACACTAAAACCTACGAACTCGTCACCAAAGAAATCTTTGGACCGTTTCAGGTAAACATCATTTTCTACCTTAAATGATCAGTGTGTTTCCTTGCTGACACTTTGTTTCTGTATATGATGTTCCAGATTGTAACGGAATACAAAAAGGATCAACTTCCTCTTGTGTTGGATGCTTTGGAGAGGATGCACGCTCATCTAACTGCAGCTGTTGTTTCAAACGACCCCATCTTTATCCAGGCAAATCCTTTCACCATCATCAATCAATCAATCAATCTCTTAACTATCTTCTAATGATGTAGCAAATGCGTGCAGGAAGTGATAGGGAACTCGGTGAATGGGACTACATATGCTGGACTCAGAGGAAGAACAACCGGAGCTCCTCAGAATCACTGGTGAGCTCAATAACTAACATCACTCTCATTCCTTTTTTTCTGAGAGAAAAAATGCTAAATGGTATTATTATATAAACACAGGTTTGGACCTGCTGGAGATCCAAGAGGAGCAGGGATAGGAACACCAGAGGCTATAAAGCTGGTGTGGTCATGCCACAGAGAGGTCATCTATGACTATGGTCCTATTCCACAAGGTTGGGAACTTCCTGCATCTACTTAAAATGAGCTAAAAGAGAGAGAGAGAGAGCACTTAGTTTGCTTGTAGCATCGAATAAAAGTGAGTTTTGTAGCTTCGAATAAACTCTACTGGTTGTAGTTTCAGTATTGAGAGGGGAGGTATAACAACTACTTTGAATCATGAAATAAAGCGTTGGCTTTAGTTAGTCAAAGGCTGAGAGGCTGATTATTATATTATTATTGTGAAACTCCATTGAATCTTAATCATGTTTAATTTTGCATCTAACGATTTCTTGAACATTGCTTTTTGTTGAGAAATCAGCTAAAGAGTGTTATGAAAGTCTTCTTTTTAGTTTTCTTTCAATAGCGTAAATGTTGTTAAACGTATCAATCTTAAAATAGTCTAATTGAGAAAAATAAAAATTTCGTCACTATCATGGAGAAAGACAACAGCAGACTCCTCCTCTTGTGTTTTACACATACTAATCTGTGAACGGGTTCTTGATGATCCTTGTGATGCTTGCTGGTAACACTGAGGAGAATCCATAAATGCAAGATGTAGCTTTTTTACTGTTGTCTAACTTTATGTCCTAAAGTTTTGATGATATGTACAAGCAGTTTGTCTCCGGTTATGCCTCTGACTCTTTGTATTAGCTCGCTCCTCGAGATTCTCATGTTCTGTTGTTATGCAAAAGGAAACAAACAATCAGAATGTCTGAAAATTACATGAAAGAAAAAAAGATGGAATAATAAAGAAAGAAAACACTCACTTGCTGATCTCTATAGTGTTTTTGAATGATTAATATCTGAGAAGGAGCTAGAAACTTGGATAATGCTTTGATCAGTACAGGAAATGGCATCCATGGTGATGATCTCAATCTCCTTGGACCTCCTGTAAAAGTCAATCATGTCAGAAATAAGGAAGAAAGAAACAAAACTCTGTTTTGTTTTTTTTTTTAATTTTTACTTACTGTTGAAGTTAAATGGAGTTTTGATGCAGACAAGAAACTCAGGCAAGACATGTGTGTTCATGTGTGTACTCCACACAATATACTTCTTCGGAGAAACTAAATCATCTACACCAGAATCAAACTCTGGTGAGCTAGGACACGACTGAGTAGATCCTCTAGGTACCACCTCAGACTTTCCAAGTAAAACTCTAGAAAGCAGCAAAAATCTCATCCCATCTTCTGACTCCACAGCTGATTCCTTCACACTAGAAAAAAAAAAACACAAAATCAATAAGACCAATGAAACAAAACCTATTCAAGAAACCGAGATAACGAAGATTAGTCTGAACCATTTCATAGGTCCTGAGATATTTTTAACCGAGATAACGAAGATTAGTCTGAACCATTTCATAGGTTCTGAGATATTTTTTTGAACCATTTCATAGGTCCGAGATATTTCTTTATTCCGAGATACTTCGAGATTAATAATAATAATAAAAAAAACTAAGATTTAAAAGTTTTTTTTTTTGGTAAAAATGTTAAATAAGATTTAAAAGTTACCAATCAAGAAGAGCATTATCAGGGGAGAGATACAACCCACGACCAAAAGAACCATCGTTATTACACGGCTGGCTAAAACCATATTCCAAAACAGACTTCAACTCTGTTTTCGTGACGGCGCACCAACCGTATTTGACTCTACTCTCACCGACATGTTTCACCTCCACCGCCTCTTGAAAAACCTGAAACGCCTTTAGCTTCGCACGAGTCCCCACGGTTCTAAACCCGTTTCTTAAGATGGAGAGAAGCTGGCATTGGTCACCAAGACCAGACTTACAGTTTCTGTAGATTAGATCGTAAGCTTTGTCTCCTTCAAGCAACTCTATGAGACCGTGCTCGTCAGCGAAAGACGGTCTTGGTTGATCATACCAATCACAGCTTCCAGATTCAGATATCGTTGACCGTTCTTGATCCGAATCAAAGTTGGTTTGTAACTCTGTTCTTGCGTAATCCATTAGAACAAGAAAAGAATCAAAATTTTGAAGAGTCTTGTGTGTGTGTTTGTGATTGGTAAGGAAGAACAAGAACTTGAGCTCCAAGTGCGTTTATATATAAGGAAAGAGTTACATAAATGGAAACTGTGGAAGAACCGACTTTGGTTTTACTGTATTAATCGGCGGTGTTGCATTTGTTTATATATATATAGAAACACAGAAGTCATTGTCCTATTCTACGTGGAGAAGACGTAAACAAAGTTTAAACACGCACTATTTTAATTTATAAAAAATAAAATGATTTTATTTATTTATTATTATTACAGGAAAAAGGGAAAGAGATGGTCTAGTTGTACAACTAGTTTAGGTTTTTCTTTTTTTGGTAATCATCAACTAGTTTAGGTTTTGTCAACCGCTAGCTGTTTTTTTTTCTGCTTACATAGGTCGATACCGTGTGGAGTCAGCAGCAGGTTGGCTGATTGGAAAGACGAAAGTACCCTTTGGATATAACTTAGGCTGGATTTTAGGAGCAGAATATTACTTACTTGCACTCCAGGATAATATTTTGGCCAGAAGTCACGAGCGGCACACGTTTTATACATACATCGGCTTGGCTTGACCTATATAATAATAACACAAACCATTTTTCTTTCTTTCTTTTAAAGTAAGTAGAAAGCTCTCTTCGGTCAATGTTTTTGGACATTTTAAGAATCATACAAGTTCATGACTGAACACAAGCAGGTTTGATTATTCTATTGGGCTACATTGCTGGGGGACAAAATGTTCACTAAATAGCCCATTTAATGTGGTCTACTGGATTTATGCGGGTTTCAATCAATGGCCTGCAAAATAGTTGTATAAATCTTCTTAGGACTTGGTAGAGCATTAGCATAAGCATTATGTTCTATATTATCCAATCAACATTTACTGGAGAAACATTTAGAAAAGCATTTACTAAATGCAAATGCTCTCCAAATGCTCTAGGCTTTATGCTCTCATACGAAGCTTTTGGAAGAGCATTTGCAGTTAAAATATGTAAAAATTAAAAAACTAATTATATAGAAGTGATTTATTTTTATTTAATAATATAAAAAATAGTTTTATAATAAATAAATATTTTTATTTTTTTTAACAAAAATTGAAATTAAATATTTTCAAATAAAATCAATATTTCACATTTAAAATATAATTTAGTTTATATAATTTCTTATTTCATTATTTTTAATAATAAACATAAAATAATATATATTTATTTATATATGAAACATATATATATATATATTATTACATAAATTAATAAATTATATATCATATATTAGTTTTTATGATAATTTTACAAATGAATCATTTGTTACTCTACCAATAAATAAATAATAATAATAATTAATAAATAAATTATATAATTAATTGATTTTATAATATTAAAAATTATGTTATATCCAAATATATTTAATATTTTAACATAAATTTTAAATTTTCAAAATAATAATATTTCAGTTATAAATATAATATTATTTAAAAATGAATATTTTTCTATTTGCAATAGCAAAATTAATATATGTTCTATATATATATATATTAGTTTAAAAAATATATATATAAATATATATTATATACTAATTTTTATGATATTTTATTAAATTGTATATTGCTACTGTTCTACCAATCACGTTATTAAAAACTTGAGTGAAGCATACAGCTTCTGCAGCATTTACAACTTCTACAACATACTGCTAATGTTTTATCATCTGCTGTACCAATCGAGGCCTTAGTGTGTTTTGAGTAAATGTTTATTAATAATTTTACATTAGAAATTTTGGGTTTTGAAGATTTCGAAAAAAACAAATCTATACTATTAAAGTAGAATCACTTTTAGGTTTATGCCCCTGATTTTTAAAGAAAATTACAAAATATCTCATTTCCTTTTATTTTTAATGAAAATTGTCCATTATTAGCTCAACTGAAAATCGCCCATTGAAAACCCAACAATTCTAACATTTATTTACAACGAAATAGACTTCAAATCTATACGAAAAAATATATATTTATAAGTTTTTAAATTCGTCAACAGAATTAGGCATGAGCATTTTATCTAGACCGAAGACCCGAACAAAAACCGACCCAAAAATACATGTTTAGGTCCGGGTTCAGGTTCATGCTAAAGTATCTGTTTGGTATTTTTTTGTTTGGATCCGCGGGTCTCGGTTTGGGTCCGGGTCCTACTCGAAACCCGATCGGGTACCCAAAGTACTCACAAATTATTGTATATATTAGGTATATTTAGGTGATTGAGTATATTTTTGATAATTTGGGTATTTTTTAAAGTTTCATATTTGGATTTTTTGGTATAATATTAGGTTTTAGGTAAAATTTTAGATTTTCAAAAAAAATATAATTCGGGTATCCAGGTAAACTTTCGGGTATTTTTTGAATTTTGGATAAACTTTCGGATATGTTTGCGGTTCTTCAGGCGTTCTTAGAGTTTTTAGGTATTTTTTGGATCCAGTTTGGGTCCTTCGGATCCTTTTCGGGTCCTAAATACCCAAAACAACCCCCACAATATATCTGAACCAACGAATCCGACAAGATCCGACCCAAAACCGGCCCAAAAATTTAAAGATATTTATATGGGTTCAAATTTCTAAGACCCAAAAGATTTGGATGCAACAATATTCGATCCAAACCCGACTCGAGAATCCGAATACTCAGGATTAACAAGTATATTATCCGCGCTTTCAAAGCGCAGATCAAAATCTAGTTATGTAGATTAAAGAACAAAAGTTAATAGAAATTTTTTTGCAAGTTGTAAAGAATATAAGAAATGTAAGACGATTCAGAATGATACAGTAAGATTTGAATTTTCGTTAAATAAGTAAAATTGTTAACTGTTTGCAGATAAAAGTGAAAGACTGATAACATTCATCAGTCAGTCTTAGTGGCCCATATTTTTTGTTTTTTTCTTTCCACATGTTTGGATGGACACTGAACACTGTGATACAAAGATAAACCAAATTGGACACAAACTTTTAAATTAAGAAAAGTCGGGTCATTTTCATTTAAAACCGAATAACCGGTTAAGAGTAACTTAAGTATTGTGCAAACATCATCCCCAAAGTGATATCTATCTTCTAAGACAAGGCAATGTACAGTCATTGTCCTCTACTTTGAAACTTGTTTTTTCTTTCTTTTCCTGTTTTAGAAATCACACCTTTCAAGTATGAGTCCCTGCTTCTTCTGCTTCATCTTCTTCTTCTTCTTCATTTCCTTCTTCTTCCTCAACCTCAATGCCTAGAGACTCGTGTAGGCACTCTTGAGCTTCTTCTAGTACTGATTCATCTGCATCCGTTGCATATAATATCTTCTTAACCGCTACCACTATCTGCATTCATCATCGTTTCCAACAAGTACATGTTATTATCATATTCTCAAAAATTTAGAGTCTAAAAGAACGGAAACAAGGAAATTGCTAATGACATGTACCGGAAGATCATCGATCCCAGGAGTCTGACAGAGTATCTCTACATCCCTGAGCTTAGAGAAGTAAAAATCTCTTTCCTTTTCCAACAGATCCACCGAGACCTTGAGTTCTTCAAGCTGGTTATTGTGAAATAAAGTTTCATTACAAGTTCCTTTTTTTCATTTAACCTTAAGAAACGAGGGATTTGATTAGATGGTTATTACCTCCTTTGACAGTGCTTGCACTTCGGCTGATGAGTTGCTCCCACCTCCAATTGCATGTGATCTTGCTTGCTTGGGACCTAAAGTTAAGAATGTTTGACATAAGATTGTGAAACTCAAAAACTGGATATGGAAGCTAGTTTAAATGGAATACCAGATGGTTTGCTGGAAGTAGTAACTGGAGGAGGAGGATGATGCATATTGTTTGTTTGCAATGACTTTGAGACCTTACTAGACCCCTTTACACTTTTCTCTTTGCCACCTCTTGATCTTCTTTCTACTGGATTATAATTCCTATAATGATGAAAACCAATAGAGTAAGACTTTTGCTAGATAATAAGAAGAGAAAAAAGGTAGCAAAAAGATCCATACTCATTCATAATGCCACCATTAACAGAATCACAGAAACGTTTAAGCCATTGTAGAAACTCCAAGTTGTCTAGTGGTCTGCCTTTGACAAGCCTGTTGACTTCCAATGGCTAATGTATTCATATGTTGAAGGTATTAGCTCACATGATCTTTATCAAAAGCAAAGTGTATGATTAAAAGAAGGAAAATCATTACCTTTGTAATTTTCAGTTTAGTGAAGACTTCTTGCATGACTTTGTAGTTCTGTATCATCTCGTACTCGTTTTTGGCCGCAAAATTAACCTGAAAAGTTGAAAGATTTAGATTGCTCTTTGCAGAAGAAGCAAACAAGAGATGCCAATATAAACAGACCTTGTGCATTGGCACAACTCCTGGAAAGGTCATGTCCAACATTTGGCATTGAACAGCACCAGATGCAACCTAACCAAACAAACAACAAACCATAAGTTACTTTAGATAGAAAACAGTTCCAATGCAAGAGTATCAACATGAAGCCCTTTTCAACATCAAAGTCAGAAAAATATTAACTTGAAAAATGTGGATTATTATTACACAACATAAAACTGCAAGTAACACTTGTTCTGTAAAGCCAAAAAAGTGATGTATAAACCGGAATATTCAACAACAAAACATATGAGTTGCTTCCAGAAGCTAAGCATTAAGAATCAAACAAACACAGAACATCAGAGAGACAATGTAATTACATCTACACCTTTTTCAACTTGACAAATGTAAATTATTACACAACATAAACTGCAAGTAAAATTTTTTCTGTGTAAAAAGCCAAAAACTGATGTAAAAACCAGAAAATTCAACAACAAAACATACTAGTTGCTTCCAGAAGCTAAGCAATAAGCAACAAACAAAACACAGAGCATCAGAGAGACAATGTAATTACATCTACACCTTTTTCAACTTGACAAATGTAAATTATTACACAACATTAAACTGCAAGTAAATTTTTTTTCTATGTAAAAGCCAAAAACTGATGTAAAAACCAGAATATTCAACAACAAAACATACTAGTTGGTTCCAAAAGCTAAGCATTAAGCAACAAACAAAACACAGAGCATCAGAGAGACAATGTAATTGCATCTTAAACACACAAAGTACACCAGATCAACACTTGCACATATCTCAAAAACCAATCTTTATCAAAACCCATCACCGACATCATCAAAACAAAGCCAAAGTCACATCCTTTATGATCAATCTGCCATTGAAACACACATGCAGAAACAAAGAATCAACCTTTAACATTTACCTCTTCAATACGGGTGAGATTGAGATGAAGACGGTCATTGATCCAACCCAAAATCTCATTTCTTCCAACAAAGTAAGCACTATCCATCATACCAATGTTCGTCGCCATCTCAAAACGAAAAAAAAACTCTTTTTTTTCTCTCCTCCTCTGTTCTATTGAGAAAACTCAGATGCAATGTGCGATGATGATGAAGGAAAAAGGAAAAGGTTTTAAAAGAGAATCAAATCAAATGGGTTAGGTGAAACGAAACGAAACGAAAACTGAAAAAAGAAAGAATTTTTCTTTCTAATTTATAAAATAGAAAAAAGTTGATTCGATCTGTTTTGGGAGTTTTTTTTTTTTTGCTTGTTTGGAAGAGAAACTGATAACAGAGAAAAGGACGGTGAGCGAATGAAACAGAGAGAAAAAAGTGTTAAAGTAATTAAATTTTAATAACTTATTTTAGTCGTTACGATGTCCCTCGCGTGAACCGGACTTTTTTAAATTTTATTTTACTTAGAAGTATTGCTAAAATATTTTTTATTATATAATTTGCGTGGTCAGAACTTAGAAGGTATAAGAAAACCTATATGATTAAAATAAGGGAATTCAATATTATAAGATTTAGATACACATCATTTGATCGCTACAGAAAACTTATACATTAGATTGTTGAATATTAAAAACTTAATACACATCAACGATTTTACTATAGTATTTTATAAACCAAAGAAAGAGGCGTTTTTTAATTTTATTTTAGTGTACGGCGGAAGATGCATTAACTTCTTGGTTTGTTTCGGTTACAGCTAATGTCAGTTCACAGTTATGACAATGCTGGTTTTGGACTCTGTAATATGTAACGCTTTCACGTGGGATGCCTTTACTGAGAAGCAACATGGTAGTACTGTTATACATTTCTAAGGAAATTTATAGTATTATCTTATTTTTTTCAACTGGGATTTTGTTTTTTTGGTGGAACCACAAAATTTATTTGTTGCTTTACACATCTACCATGTCCGAGCATACAATCAGTATGTTTGTTTCTGTATAGTTTACTCTTGCTTTATAAGGTGATTTTTGCACAATTTGCTTTCATTTGATTGTATGTTTTTCTCTTTTAGGCAATGAATATTGAAAACAGGTTGTGTTTATTAAGAAACAAATAAGTTAGAATCATTTTCTTGTCAAAATTAAGGTAGAAGATCGTCTAAAGGTAGCAACAATTATAACCGATAGACGTATTACAAGTTAACTCATGTTTTTCAAGAAAATTTAGAAAATTTGATAATTTTGTTGTAATGCATATTTTTATCATGCATTTACATATTATAAACATTAAAGAGGTTTGAGATCTTATGTGTTTCCATTTCTCTAGAAAATATAGATTTTATAAGAATTAGTACATTAATTAAATCGTATACGAAGTTTAAATAAATTACTCGTTGGAAAGTTAGAAATAATGAATATGTACCATGAAAATATGTTTAGCGTACATTAATATACATTGGGAGTGTGGTTAAGTGTTTTTAAACAACACCAAAGTGTCTAATAATAATATAGAACATTTATCAGAAAATTCAATGTTTTCATAGTGCACTGATATAGTATGAAGATTAAAGAGGTTTGTGACCTTATGTATTCCTATTTCTCTAGAAAATAGAGATTATATAAGGGTTATTACACTAATTAGATCGTATATGAAGTTTAAATAAATTACTCGTTGGAAAATTAGAAATGATGACCATGTACCATGAAAATATGTTTAGCCTACATAAATTTACATTGAGAGTGTGGTTTGGTATTTTTAAACAACACTAAAGTGTCTAAAATTTATAAATAACATTTTCGAAAAATTTAACTTTTTTATGGTGGTTAACACACATATTTCAAAAAAAATTAGAAAATTTGGTAATTTTTTTTAGTACATATTTTCATCATGCACTGACATAGTATGAAGATTAAAGAGGTTTGAGACCTTATGTGTTCCCAGTTCTCGAGAAAATAGAGATTTTATAAGGATTAGTACACTAATTAGATTGTATATGAAGTTTAAATAAATTACTCGTTGGAAAGTTAGAAATAATGAATATGTACCATGAAAATATGTTTAGCCTACATTAATATATATTGGGAGTGTGGTTAGTTGTTATTAAACAACACCAAAGTGTCTAATAATAATATAGAACATTTATCGAAAAATTCAATGTTTTCATAGGGGTTAACCCACATATTTCAAGAAAAAATAGAAAATTTGGTAAGTTTGATTTAAAGCATATTTTCATCATGCACTGACATAGTATGAAGATTAAAGAGTTTTGTGACCTTATGTGTTCTTATTTCTCTAGAAAATAGAGATTATATAAGGGTTATTACACTTATTAGATCATATATGAAGTTTAAATAAATTACTCGTAGAAAGTTAGAAATGATGACCATGTACCATGAAAATAGGTTTATCCTACATTAATATACATTTTGAATGTGGTTAGGTATTTTTAAACAACACCAAAGTGTCTAATAATAATAAAGAACATTTATTTGAAAATTTAATGTTTTCATAGGGGTTAACCCACATGTTTTGAGAAAAAATAGAAAATTTGTTAATTTTGTTTTAATGCATATTTACATCATTCTATGGCATAGCATGAACACTAAAGAGTTTTGAGACCTCATGTGTTCTCATTTCTCTAGAAAATAGAGATTTATAGGGATAGTACACTAACTAGATCGTATATGAAGTTTAAATAAATTACTCGTTGGATAGTTAGAAATTATGACCATGTACCATAAAACTATGTTGAGCCTAAATTAATTTACATGAGAGTGTGGTTTGATATTTTTAAACAACACTAAAGTGTCTAAAAATATAGATAGCATTTATCAGAAATTTTAATTTTTTCATAGGGGTTAATCCACATATTTCAACAAAAATAAGAAAATTTGGTAGTTTTATTTTAATACATATTATCATCATACACTGACATAGTATGAAAATTAAAAGTGGTTTGAGACCTTATGTTTTCCCATTTCTCTAGAAAATAGAGATTTTATAGGGTATAGTACACTAATTAGATCGATATGAAGTTTAAATAAATTACTTGTTGGAAAGTTAGAAATGATGATGATGTACCATGAAAATGTGTTTTTATCCTACATTAATATACATCGAGAGTGTGGTTTGATATTTTTAAACAGTACTAATATGTCTAAATATTATAGATAGTATTCATCGGAAAATTTAATTTTTTCATAGGGATTAACCCACATATTTCAAGAAAAATGAGAAAATTTGGTAATTTTTTTTAATGCATCTTTGCAACATGCACTAATATATTATGAGACTAAATTGGTTTGAGACCTTATGTGTTCCTATTTCTCTAGAAAATATAGATTATATAGGAGTTAGTACACTAATTAGATCGTATATAACCTTTAAATAAATTACTCATTGGAAAGTTAGAAATGATGACCATGTACCATGAAAATATGCTTAGCCTACATTATTATACATTGAGAGTGTGAATTGGTATTTTTTAACAACACTGAAGAGTCTAAAAATTATAGATAACATTTATCGGAAAGTTTAATTTTTCATAGGGGTTAACCCACATATTTCAACAAAAATTAGAAATTTTTTAATTTTGTTTTAATTCATATTTTCACCATGCACTGATATAGTAAGGAGATTAAAGAGGTTTGAGACCTTATGTGTTCCCATTTCTCTAGAAAATAGAGATATTATAGTGAAAATATGTTTAGCCTACATTAATATACATTGGGAGTGTGTTTTGGTATTTTTAAAAAACATCAAAGTGTCTAATAATAATATAGTATATCATAAAAGTCAATGTTTTCATTGGGGTTAACCCACATATTTCAAGAAAAATTAGAAATTTAGTAATTTTGTTTTAATGCATATTTGCATCCTGCACTAACATATTCTGAAGACTAAAGAAGTTTGAGACCTTATGTGTTCTTTTTCACTAGAAATTAGAGATTTTATAAAGGATAGTACACTAATTAGATCAATATGACATTTAAATAAATTATTCGTTCGAAAGTTAGAATTGATGATGATGTACCATGAAATTATTTTTAGCCTACATTAATATACGTTGAGAGTGTGGTTTGATATTTTATAACAACACTGAAGTGTGTAAAAGTTATAGATAGCATTTCTGGAAAATAATTATTATTTCGTAGGGATTAACCCACATATTTCAAAAAAAAATATAAAATATGGTAATTTTTTTAATGCATATTTGCATCATGCTCTAAAATAGTATTAAGACTAAAGAGGTTTGAGACCTTATATGTTCTGATTTCTCTAGAAAATAGATATTTTATAGGGGTTATTACACTAATTAGATCGTATATTAAGTTTAAATAAATTACTCGTTGGAAAGTTAGAAATGATGACCATGTACCGTGAAAATATGTTTAGCCTACATTAATATACATTGGGAGTGTGTTTTGGTATTTTTTAAACAACACAAAGGTGTCTAAAAATTATAGATAGCATTTATCTGAAAATTTAATTTTTTCATAGGGGTTAACCCACATATTTCAAGAAAAATAAGAAAAAAATTGGTAATTTTGTTTTAATGCATATTTGCATCATAAAATGACATAATATGAAGATTAAAATGATTTGAGACCTTATGTGTTCACATTTCTCTAGAAAATAGAGGTTTTATAGGGGTTAGTACATTAATTAGATCGTATACGAAGTTTAAATAAATTAATTGTTGGAAAGTTAGAAATGATGACCATGTACCATGAAAATATGTTTAGCCTGCATTAATTTCCATTGAGAGTGTGGTTTGATATTTTTAAACAACGCTATAGTGTCTAAAAATTATAAATAGCATTTATCGGAAATTTTAATTTTTTCATAGGGGTTAACCCACATATTTCAAGAAAATTTGAAAATTTGGTAATTTTGTTTTAGTGCTTATTTTAATCATGCACTGGCATATTATGGAGATTAAAGAGGTTTGAGACCTTATGTGTTCCCATTTCTCTAGAAAATAGAGATTATATAAGGATTAGTACACTAATTAGATTATATATGAAATTTAAATAAATTACTCGTTGGAAAGTTAGAAATGACGACCATGTACCATGAAAATATTTTTATCCTACATTAATATACATCGAGAGTGTGGTTTGATATTTTTTTAAAAACACTAAAATACTAAAAATTATAGATAGCATTTATCGGAAAATTCAAATTTTGTAAGGGTTAACCCACATATTTTGAGAGAAATTAGAAATGGTATTTTTGTTTTAATGCATATTATCATCATGCACTGACATAGTATAATATTAAAGAGGTTTAAAACCTTATGTGTTCCCATTTCTCTAGAAAA